GTCATCACGGGTTGACTGAAGGTCGAGTTCAAATGCAGAATCACTCATCAAGTTTGACAGAACTGGCACAACCTGGTTAAAAAATAAAAAATATATTGAAGAAATAAACCTTTGCTTCTCCAATTTTCATTACTGCTGGTGAGAGTTACAATGTACATTTAGTAAATTTTATATTTTATACTTTATAAGCGAGAAGAATAAATAATTTAGAACACAGTTTTTTATCTGAAGAAAAAAAACGCGAAGTATACGTAATAAAACCCCTGGATATACAACCAATGATAAAGTAATACAATCATTAGTGAAATAAATACACACACTACCTTATTTTGCCGTTTTCGAGAAAAAATATTCACAAAACATGACCTTGATAGGCTGTTACACATGTCGGTGTAATATGGCTATATAATTGCAATGAATTAAAGAAATTTCTGAAAAGACGTTTGCTCAATCAAGACAAAGCATATAAATGATTATATACCTCACTTAAGAAATCCAGCCATCTGATTGGTCGAAATTGCATTCATAAACTTTAACTATTTCTGTAAAATTCCCAATAACCATGGTTAAAACAGTTCTAAAATCCCAGTAACCGTGGTTACCGGGAAAATAGTTCAGTCTCCATGGTTACCCCATAGGTTTACATGTTAAAAAATGGTCTGAGTGATCGAGGATACCGTACGTGTGCGAAGAATTGGTCGGTAATTTCAATACAATTGAATCTCGATCGATCTTACCGACAATTTTCATCTTGCATTGTTGACATGAAGACGAAAATAAACTTCCAAAAAAAAAAAAAAAAAAACCATCTGCCGAAAGATCTTGATCTAAGTTCGTGCCAATATGCATTGCAAATGTAAAAGAAGGGCCCGTTTAATGGAGCAGCCGCGAAGCATCCACCACGCGAAGCCGTTTTCAATCCATTTTAATGTATATATTAGAAAAAACTGCTTGTTAGGTAACAGAGCGCGATGGCCGAGCGGTTTAAGGCGGTGACTTTAGTTACATCACCTTCTGTACGCAAGAGATCGAATCCCATCTTCGACAAAAGTTTTTTATTTTTATTTTTTTTTATTTTATTTATTTTTTTTTTTCGGCATATAAAAGTATTAATGACTGCTTTAATATTCGAGAAATAGTTGTATTTATACGCTCTCGGGAAGGTTACAATTGGGCTATTGCCCTCGGCACGCCTCGGGCAATAGCACAATTCTAACCTTCCCTTGAGCGTATAAAAACAACTATTTCTCTCAAAGCAGTCATTAATACTATACTGTTTACTGTAGTTAAGTAAGTATAGGGGGAGGGTTTCGGGGTGCTACGCGCATGCGTTATGTGTCAAGGGTGATGCGCGTGATGACGTCAACAATGGTATTGTTCAGCTGCGGTTTGGTCACTTCCAAACTGTTCCGATGATCTCCCTCATCATTATTCAAACTTGTGTTTCCAAATTTTCTCGATGATTTGATATCCATGTAATTCGACCTATTACATTTCAAATCTCTTTTTTTTCCTGAACATGAGAGGGGGCCTAAGTTCATAATTTAGCATACGTCATTTTTTGTCGCTTAAATCGTCTTTCAGAAATGAGGGGGAAATTCTTACTGAGTGAATGTAATGAAATGAAAGGATGATTTGTTCAATGTTTTACTCGCCGAACCCTAGTACTCTCTCTCTCTCTCTCTCTCTCTTTCTCTTCCCTCTCTCTCTCTCTCCTTCCCTCACTCTCTTACTCCCTCCCTCTCTTACTCCCTCCCTCACTCCCTCCTTCCCTCTCTCTCTCTCTCTCTCTCCCTCTCTCCCTCCCTCCCTCCCTCTCCTCTCTCTCCCTCATTCAGGAATATACATTGCATGCTGAAAGCTTTATAGTCAGAGTTGCCCGCAACTGAATGCAGCTGCTGTGGCCGTTTTTGCTTGCAGCTGGCGTTATAATGGTAGCACTTTAAAGACATTTTTTCTCAATTCATGAGATATATGATGTTTGTTTGATAATGACTGTTTCTCTAACTGCTAAGAACGCATGTAGGCTTATATACGTGTAGGTAAAGAACCCGGGCCCAACAAACATTTTGACTTCTCAGAATTCGAAAAAAACACGTAAGAAGATTAAAGATAGATGCTTACATTTATTCACCGAAGAAAAAAAAAATCTATTTGCAAAATACAATATATACAGCTATATTTACAAGTCAAGTTTCGCATATGTAATCTATAACCTAGGTAATACTTGTTTGACTGCCCTACATGCATGTATACTATTAGTACTTATTGTCACAGTAACATTACTTGTTTATTATTTCAAAGTTTTTTTGCTGTGTTCTGACAGAATAGGAGGATGTGTTTCACAGTGAATGCGGGAGAAAGGAAATATTTTACGAATAATCAACGAAAATATATAAAATTGCAATGAGAAAAGTGCATAGGAAGCATAAACTCATAAAGCTACTGAATTTATCATCACAATATTCCACAAAGATGATTAGAGTGAAACTTAATTCATGATAAGCTTTTTGTTTCTTTTTGCCTTGTGGTTAAGATAATATTTCAACAACACACCCACGTGACTTTATTTTTGACACACACCACTTGTACCGATGTTAAATGATCAGCAATAAATAATCAAACTAAATACCAACATAGGATCTTGATCAAACAGCTCTTCCATTGAATTAGGCATATGACACTTTCAGTACTGGATACATACACGACCTCAAATCAGAAACGAGCATTGTGTGATCAAGGATAACCAGCACATCGTGTTTGAAGAACTCACATTTTAACGACAGTGGCAATTAAAGTTACATTAGAAGATAAAGATAATAAAATGAAATAATTTAAATTAATTCAAATTTAACTGTTGTTGACATCAACAATTGCACATATAAATTGTAAAAAACACAAAAATTAATAGTAAATAATGAAATAAATGAATAAATAAACCGTAACATTCTTCATCAGCTCGATAATCATGACATAACTGTCTGTTATTGTAATATGTGGTCAGGGGAAATGTATATTGTATATGAAATATTTCAAAAATAAAGGGGAAACAAAATTAAAATGTGCCATTTCGGAGTGCATTGAAAGAATCTATGTTGTGAGTAACTCATGGGTAAAACTTCTAGGTGTACCATCCTGTGTTAAATAGTGTTAATTGGTAAATATCTATACATTGTTGACTTTTTAGGACACTGATTTGTTCATATAACCAGTTGACCACTGACTTCTCCCATTGTCACAGCTTTGTTAAAGGAACCATTCAGTTTGTACAGGCAATGTCGTAGGAAAGTATATCCTAAATATGGTCCCTTTGCAAAAATAAAGAACATTTAATCATATCCATCTACTACAGCAAAATGACTTTTTCCATGTGCATATTCTGTGGAAAACACAACTTGAGTTATAGTTATGATTATTTTCAATTGTGACACACGTCATGTACATGTTTTGTTTCGAAACTTAACGTAAAGCTTCCCATCACTGTTCCAAGAAATACTTCATCAAACAAAGCTAAGGCCTTGCCAGGAAATGTCATTTCCAAGTAAGGAAAGGTTTCACTTTCATTCAGTAAATATTCAATTGTCTTTATTCTATTTTTAAAAATTACTTCTAAACAAATTATTAAATTGAAAGATAGCTAAATTCACAAGACTACCATAACGCCTGGAACCTATTGTGGCACTGCAAAAGCAAGTTTCATGTTTCAACTCTCATCTAAGGCAAAAAGCATGGTTTTGTCACACAAAAATAATTTTTCATGAAATACCCTAGTGCCACCACCACATGTTCATATTCCATGATACCCTGTTAATTTGTTTGAGTTCGTGTATGCATTGAATCCGATACAACCTTCACATCAACCAGACCCTAATTTTCTGGGGATGCCATGGCAGCTAGTTCCATTCCATTGGTAAAGGGTGCGCTGTCAGCATTGGATGTGCGTTCCGATGCTGCAGGAGCGTAGGCAGGCGATAGTGGAGTCTGGGGTGCCACGGATGCCGGCCTGGATTCTGCTAGTGCCCTGTTCGAAACAGGACTGAATGAAAATGGTAGAAAGTGTATTTAATGATTATATAAGACAAAAGCACAAGTAACCAAAGGCACAAGCAAAACATTTTCTTCACTGACCTTCTGTTTACAAAGTTTAAGAAAATGTTTTTTTCTTCATTATTCCCATACATGCATGTACAGGTATCTTTTTTAAAACTTTTTTTTTTGGGGTGGGGGGCACTATCAAGAATAAAACAAACCTTTCATTAGAAGACGTTGGTTCTTCATCACAGCAATCATTGCTGTTCTCTGCCAGAATTGAATAAAATGTTTCAACTGAAGACTGCCTCTCACCTAAATAAAAAAAATGAGAACATGACAACAAAAACAAAAGATTTTTTAGAAGTTTTAGAGATGTGCATATCATGCACAAGTATATATTCATGTCCGTATATAAAATGATAAAACATTAATTGTTTGTATGATGTGCAATGCAGCCACGAATCAGACACTAAAATGTTAATGGAGACATTTTCATATAAGGAATCGGCCAATAAGTGGTAGATCATAGTTACGGATATCGTGTAATTTTTGCTTTTTTAAGTTTTTGAAATCATGTTAGAGAGAGAAAACTTTTCCTTTTGAAAACTTGTTTCTGCAAACCTTTATTTTTCTTTCTCTCTCACTTTTATTTAGTGTTTAGTAATCTTACTGGTCTGTGATTGTCACATTACCCTTTGGATTTTTGCCCGACCGTGGTAAAATCAGCAGTTTTCAATAATCATCGTGATTTCCTGCGATGACGTATCATACTTAATACATTTAAAGTAGCTATGGAATCATTATAAAATTATTTAACCGTATTTCTACAGCACCCCAGCCACACACTGTGGGTGTTGTAGCCTGTAGAAATAGGGTTAAAAGCAGTACCGGGTGAAAAAATTGCCACAAGTGTAAATATGAATCCAACCAACTTTGGGCACTTGTCGAAAACACTCTTGTTTCATAAATCAATACTTACGGCCTGGTTTTGTTTTGTTGTCATCTTTAATATTCCTGAACCCGCCCTCACTGTTCGGGAGTTGCATGAGCTGGATGCTCCGGTCTGGGCGAACCAGAATCTCCAGCATACGGAAAGCTAACGGTGTGTCTGACGGGATCTCTAGGGTACGCCTTCGGTTAATTTCTGCCGAGGCATCGATCCCAATCTGAAATAATTCAACAATATCACCATCATCAGCATTAAAGCAATAACACATATACCAGTTACCATGTAAACGACCAAAGCGTTTACAGTGTTATTATCCCATTCACTAGATTCATTTAGGATTATATACTTCACAATGCACATTCTCCACTCCTAATCCAGACAGTCGCCTTTTTATTTTAGAAAGGCACACCTACGTGCTAATCCTATCACACTAGGGACTTTTAGATTTGCACATCGACATAGTGTGGACTACTACGTGTGACGTCGACGTGCAAAGAGCACGTTTTTTAAATTTGGTGTCCCAAAATTTGAAAATTTGGCCGATCGATATTTTGTTTCGGTGGGGGGGGGGGGGGGGGGGGGGGTAAGGTCATTTTTTTGGGGGGGTCACCCATTACCACAATTTTTATTATTTTTATTTTGTATTTATTATAAACACACAAATAAAAACAAGTTGAAGGGGAGGGTGCAACCCCCTCCCCCCTGCGTACACGCCTGGTAGATAATAAACAAATTTAGAAAATCAGTGCCGAAAGCCCATAGCTATAGGCATTACGATTTAAAAGCCCCGGATTTTATACTAAGAACGATTTGAGAAGTATTATTATCAAATCTTTGAAACATGACAATCCTCTATGATTGCTCTAACCTAACCCTAAACCTACCCCCAAGTTCCATGGGGCTAGGGTTAGAGATTGGGTTATCGAATCTGTGTTGTGATTGCCTCACCGTTTCCACAGGTTCAATCGGGACCTTAACGTCGGCTGATCCATGTGTCTTAACCTTAGTCGTGATTTTGGAGTCAGCCTCTGGGCTCAGTGTCGCCACAACCAGGCAAAGCGTATTGCGTTTCTTCGACGTGACTTCTTTGATGAAATCCTTCTTCAGGTTTATCTTCCTTTTAAAGAGAAAACAAAATCGAGAAAATGGGAGAGATGTTGTATAAAGAGGCTTATCCATCTTTGAGATAGTCCTTTGCGTGGATTAGTTTTTTTTATAATCTCATAAACTCATAGGCAATGCAAGTCATCATCATAATATAACCCTCATTGATGGCGTATCGAGGATGAATTAACGAGGGGGAGTCAAAATCCTTGCGAGATCGAGTGGGTAGAAGGAAGAGGGAGGTCTAAGGGTATCTGATACAGTGCCTAATGCTGAACAGCCACTCCAATGTACATTGTGTTGATTTATTTTCTTCTCCTACTGGGGTGGAGTGGGACTGAATGGGGGGGGGGGGGGGGGGCTTACACTCTACTCCGGCTTCACGTTGGATGATGGATACACCACTGTGCATGTAATCCGTTAGATAAATCCTTCTGTATTATTGATGCAATTGTTGATCTGAGTTTATCTGATGTTGTACTTTGACCATTTCATGTCATCATAGGATACTTGGAACAGCTTCTTATAACTGTCTTAACAGCTTGTATGAAATACAAAGTCACCAACTATTCATATCTACCTTCCTTTGACAGAGTTGACGAGTTTAGGTATGTCGAGTGATTTTTCAACAATCTTGCCAAAGTCTACAGAGACTGCGATGTGTCGCTTAGCGTCTAACTCAAAACCAGCTATCTCCATTGCCAACGAAGCCTCGACTTTACCTAAAGATCATATTCACAATGAGAATGTTAATAATTGTTTCAATAACTTTGTATCACTTCAAGCGCTCAGGGCAGGGAACTTGTCTTGCCACGATTGTGTGAATATATTTTGCAGCATATCCCAGTTTAAACTATCATAACATACACGAGTTAGGTCAACGCCAAACGCCTTATTGAATAATTACATTACTAGCTATTACAGCTAAGTCCGAATTAAAGAAAATACAAAAAAAAAAAGGACATTAAAGGGGAAGTCCACCCTGAAATTAAGTTAGTTTTAATAGGAGTAGAAAAATGAGAGAAACAAGTCAGTGAAAGTTTGAGCAAATTCCGATTAAAAATAAGGAAGTTAGGATTTTTGAAGTTGTGATCAATCAAACACAAATTGGCAACTCTATGACGTATCATGCGAGCTCAACTTTCATTTGCTCAGTACTAAAAAAATCTAAAATTTTCATTTTCCCTCAAGAAAAATTTCAACCATACATGCACCCTAAATATAATAATTGCAAATATGTTTCTATACTCCCCCTGCAAGGAACAAATATATATTCCGTCATCAATAACGAAGAAAACATGATTTTATGGAATATTATGCACAAAGCAAATGAAGGAGAGCTCGTATAATAAGTCACAGAGTTGCCAATTTGTATTTGATTGATCACAACTTCAATAATTCATAACTTTCTTATTTTCATTCAGAATTTGCTCAAACTTTCACTCACCTGATTTTCTTATTATTCTGCCTCTATCGAAGCAAACTTATTTTGGGGGTGGACTTTCCCTTTAATACGGTATCTACATTTTGCTACAATGCTACAGATGAAATGAATTTGATCTTTAAAAGGGGTTTGACAAAGATCGATGCAAAAGCATGTGTCATGTTTTAACATTCAGATGAAAACGGTTAAAGGATAATTGATTCAATGCTAACACTATGATCAAATTATGGAATACATACTACATTCATATTACGATACATTAACACAGACAAAATATAATAATGTTAATGATACCTCTTGCCTTGATCCTCAGTGATCTTTCAAAGTTTACAAGGACCGCCGTCGTACTGCCGACCTCATCAAACATCTCAGCTCTGTCATCATCAAGGATATCGGAAAGCGTAAACGACGTCGGGAACAGAACCACAGGGTTCCAGAAATACTTCTTGTTCTTCTTTATAACAAGATGGTATGGGCGACAGTTGCTTGCATCGGCTAAACTTGGAGAAGCGATGAGGTTGGACAGTGCGCTGCTTGAAACAGAGTGGACGAAGTTAGATGCTGCCTGGTGGAACACGCTATGTTGGCTAAAAATAGACATGTTGGTATTGCTGAAAAAATTTGGTTATCTATAAAGTCCTTTCTAAATGCAACAATGCAATTATTTGTGGTTGTTGTTGTTGATACTGCTGATGATGCCAGTGTTGCTGTTTGTTCACAAAATCTTAAACATTTAGCAATATTATTGACGATTAAATTAATTTTCACTGGCGGGTATTCCTTCGAAGATGTGTGAAGACCTGACTTATGAGGAAAACACTCTTTGTGAATAAATCTCTCCAAAACTTTTAAATCAATGAGTCACAGTCTTCTTTACCATGTAACGATTCCAAAAATGAGCGTTTTTTTATCAAGAAGGATAACAAGTGTAGCATTCCTTGTAATGTTAGAGCGCCGTAATGACAGCCATGCTAAAGCCAGGATGGTAATCAGGAGCGACAGGAGTGTTAAGTCTGACATATATGAGCGCTTTATAAGAACCCAATATTATATGAAGAACTGCATGAAGGTACGGCCGTCAGTGGTTCTAGCTTAGTATTGAGTAACATAACGCTGAATGGTGGCGGGAGAGCGGGAAGTGTGGGCTAAAACTCTATCCCCAAATTCCAAAATGATGAAATGATAGTCGGATGGGAAACAAAATCGTTCGTTTTGCTTACAAGTGGCATGGAAAATGTCCGCTTTGATGAATAAACAAGTAAGGTGATAATAATTTTATGATCGTGTATTATTGTTGCGATCGGTTTTGCGATCGGCTGCACTAATGCATGTAATGATGGTATGTGCTTTGAACGCACAGTGGCTGGCCCTTCTTTGGTATTCTTAGTCTGTGCTCAAAGACTCGGTTTTTTCGAGTAAATGAGCAGATAATGAAATTGTATCGCATGGTGATGATGACCTCTGATTTCTTGTTTCGAATAGTCATTAAGTGTACTTTACTGAAAGGTAATGTGGTAGAAAAACATAAATATTGCGAACTGCACTTTCAGCTCCCATTTTTTATGACATGATATTCTAAGCAGAGTAGCGCCAAGATTAATATCTCTAACATCCGTTGTGAAAGGTATTACTTTTATTGCGACTATTGGGATAGATTCTTGGATTCTTAAATACTAATTTCCGATGATTTGGTATATTCCTTGAAAGAGGATCACAAGTGTACTTTCAGCACGCACCTGGCCTGTCGGAATATGACGTACATTTGATTTGCTCGATCCCATGAACTCTGTACAGGAATATCAAGGAGAATGTACTATAATCTTTATGTTTAATTGATACATATCTTTAACACAATTAAGTTTGAAATTTGAGTTGGAGAAGAGCAAAATGGCAAGTTTCAATTTCACTTCGACCGCTTTCGCAGCCCTAGCTCGTTCCATTGTGATCGGGCGACTACTGAATATACTAATCGTTATATATTAGTTTTCTTCTGGTATTAAACTTGCTTTGATTGTTGTATATTTTTGTCGGAATCGACCCATTCACATAATTTGATTTTCTTCTGCATTTATGTTTAAGTACACAGTTTTAGGATAACAATAATAATATTAAATACAATGAGATTTTTCTGACAATGAAAATAAATAAGCAAATATATATAACGATTGTTATTTTCGAAAACGAAATGATTGATTGTCATAAATACTAAATTTCCCCAAACGTTATAAAATTATTGGCGAAAGAAGGACTGTCGTAAGCAGATTGCTTACAAAAGCGTTTTCCATATGCGTGCGGGGGGGGGGGTGGCTGGGGCGGGGGAGGGGTCGTCAACACAAGACCCTTAACCTTCCAAGGGGAGTAAACATTTACAAGAAAGCACACTGAGAATCAGGTGCAAAACGGACAGGTGCCCCTTTTCTTTGTCAGAACTGCCCCTTCCCCTTCTAATAAGTGCCCCTTTTCCTTGTGATAAGTACACCCCATTTTTTTTCATAAGATCCCCTTCCCTTTTTCATAAAATGTCCCGTTCCCATTCTCATAACTGCCATCTTTCATCCCTGGTAAGTTCCTCTTTTCAGGTACGAAAAGTACCTCTTACCACCTCGGATAAGTACCTCCTTTACCTCTGATAATTTCCTATTCTCAAATCTGAGAGGCACACGTTTTACTTTCACAAGTGCCCCTTTTCCTTTGTAATAACTGCCCCCTTCCCATTCTGATAAGTGTTCCTTCTCTTCTTTTATGAGTGCCCCTGTTTACCTCTGATAAGTGCCCCCCCTTTTATTTTGAAACGCCACCCTTTTCCTTTAAAAAAAATCCCCTTTTTTCCTTCTCATAAGTCCCCCTTTTCATTCTCATAAATGCACGTTTTTCACCCCAATAATTGCCGCAATCTAAATCTGACAGTTGCCCCTTTTCCTTATAGAAAATGCTCCTTTTCCCTTAATAATAAGCACCCCTTCTCATCTCTGTTGAGTGTTTTTTCAGGTGCGAGAAATTCCCCTTTGAACCTGTGATACTCTTGCTCTTTTTAAAACTTTGACTCGTGCCCCTTTTCCTTTTTAACAAGTGCTTTTTTCCCTTCTCATAAGTGCCCTGTTCCCTTTGTAATGAGAATCCCTTCTCTTTCTCTTAAATGCCACTTTCACCTCTGATAAGTGCCCCCCCTTTTTTTTTACACGTGCCCCTTTTCCTTTCTAATAAGTAACATATTTGGATAGCTGTCCTTTTTAATTTTTTTTTATATGATCCCCTTCTCCTTTTCAAAATGCCCTCTTTTCTAACATGCACCCCCAATTCAAATTTGATTGCCAGCCCATTTTTCTTTAATTTTCCCTCCACAATTCAGCTCTACTTAAAATAGGGTGACCGTTAATTGATTGATTAATTAATTATAACATACACGGGCCGGCTGGTGGTGCGTACTATTATAACCAACACATAAAAGCCAACATTGCCATTTGTTTGGAATAAAACGTAAAAGGCCCTTTCTTTTTTTCTCAACGGCTGGTTCAAAATGATCGAATACTAGTATTTGTGGGCCTCACAAATATTAGAAAAGTTGATTTTGTCATTTGAATTGTATGCTCTTTAAAATTAGACACTCAATGTTTCTTAATCGCACAAAAAATTATTTTGTGTAGCGCCCTCTTTACCAAAGCTCAACTCTATATACCATGTTTCATTGACGAATCAATTTCTTGGGGTACGGGAAATCCACATCGACTATCCAAAAAACAGAGAAATATTAACAAAACAAAAAAATATGTAGGATAAATGGAAGAGTATAATCATTAAAATAAATCTATGACAAATTTCAATAGAAAATTTAATGATAATAGCTGAAATATACCACGTTTACAACAATGATACAATATATTGATCAATGTGCAGCTATTTGGAATGCGTAAAATGACATAGATTGAGAAAATTGCATACATAAAAAGAAAAAGATAGTAATGCATCATTGGCAAAACAAGTAAATGAATATTAGTGGAGCGCTACTTGATGAAGGGAAGAGTTTGAGTTTTGATAATTCGAACGAAAATGTAACTGTAATTTCATTAATTGACCATTATGGATTATTATTCTCATTATCCGCAATTTAAAATGCACAGACATGTAAAATGTTCTTGTTTTGTGAGTTAGACCGTGCAAATGGGGTTAAATTAACATGGTGGTGGTAAGAAATAGGGTAAGGAGGAGAGAAGGAGAGAGAAAGAGAGAGAGAGAGAGCGAGGGGAGAAAGGCAGAGGGAAGTACAGATAAAGAGAGAGAGAGAGAAAGAGAGAAAGAGACGGAGGGGAGAGAGAGAGAGAGAGGGAGAGAGAGGTGAACGGAGAGGGAGAGAGAGAGAGAGGGGGGGAATATATATATGTATATATATATATATATATATATATAGAGAGAGAGAGAGAGAGAGAGAGAAGATGGAACATACTGTTGAACTAAACATATGGAAAACGAAAAGAGGAATCAAGGAGGTACAGGGAGCGGGAAGTGGGAAAGAAAGAAAAGAGATATAGCCGGAAGACAGCTATATTTGAAGAAGCGTCACGAGCCGAGAGGATAGACGACACCTACTACAGCGACATACAACCGCCTCGTCCTTTATTTTGTCACAAATAGGGTTAGGCCTGCGATTAGGTTTTTTTTAGTTTGGATTGAAGGTTAGAGTTAGGGTTAAGTATACAGGTGTGTTGTGGGTTAAAATTTAGACTCCGATTTCTGTACTGGAACAATAGACCGCAAAGCACTCGTGACAATTGTCGCGGGAGCAAGTGCCGTAAATCCGAACCTTCATTATACAAATGTGTAGGGGATTTCCCCATGTCCCTTTACACTATACACAATTTTTCGTACACTTTATAAACGAACACAAATTATATTCCGGACTTTGCTCAGTTTCAGTTTCGAGTTTGATCGTGGTTCTGTGCAAACTGAAGTACCCGTAGTTCCGTGTTTGAGATTGTAGCAGTACTATGTATTACTTCCGCCAATAAAATAATATTGGATTTCTAAAAAAATGACTCTGCTAACGGTAGACTACAAATTCATGCTTTTTGATTTGATACAATGGAAGAAGAGTAGCTTCTTTTTTTCGCCCTTCTTCGTGTATTCATATTCCCTATCAACAATTCGAGAGTGTGTGTGTGTGGGGGGGGGGGGGGGGGGTCTTTGTGCCCCGTGTGGCCTTTCTCTCGGATCTTGATTTATTACTAAAAGCTGACAAACTATGAGATATGCGATATACATGAGTAACGGTATGAAACAGAACAAGAAAAAGCGGAGAAGAAAGAGGAGAAGAACTGGAAAGAAAAAAGGAAGAGGAGCAGAATGAGGAGGAGGAGTAGGAGGAGAAGAAGAAGAAGTATTAAAAAAAAATAAAGAAGAATTCAAGACTGAACTACTTTTAATACTATTTCAAGGCGCCTTCTTTTTTTGTCTAAGTATTCTTCTATATTCTTCAATAATAATTTATAACAATTATATTCTATGATTTTCCTGGAAAGATCAGGGCACATTTTAAGTAGAGGTATATGAATTATATTTCTGGGTTCTCCCCATTCTAGTAGCGTTCAGTTTGTATGGTAGATCCAACATTTTCACGGGAAATCACTGAGTCTATGAGCACAGACTAAGAATACCAAAGAAACGACAGCCATGAGCACACACAAACCATCACCAAAGGCATTTAATAGTGATACGCATTCAAGTGCAGCCGGTCGCAAAACTTGTCTTTCATTGGAGAACAATACACGATCATCAAATCAATATCATCTAACTTGTTCAATCATCAAAGCGGAACTTTTCCATGCCACAAGCAAAACGAAATTGGATATTTTCCCCATCCGACTACCATTTCATCATTTTGGAATTTTGAGAAAGAATTTTAGCCAACGCTTCCTGCGTTCTCGCAACCACTCACCGTTATGTTGCTGTGTTAGCCTACCAAACTAAAACCACTGACGGCCGTACCTCCAGTCCTTCAAGTTCGATATCCTTCTTGATGAAAACACTCATTTCTGGAATCATTACATGGGAAAGAGGACTGTGACACATTGATTGAGAGATTGTTTTGAGAGATTTATTCACAAAGAGTGTTTTTCTATTAATTTCGCTCTTCACCCATCTTCGAAGTAACACCTGCTAGTGAAGATTAATCTTTTCGTCAATTGCTTAATGTTTTAGATTTTGTGAACCAGCAACATCAGCAGCAGTATCAACGACAACATCAAACAATTGCATTTACATTGTTACATTTAGCAAGGATTCTCTAAATAACCGAGCAACACCAACATGTCTTTATTTTACAAACATAGCGTTTTCAACCAGGCAACATCTAACTTCGTCCATTCTGTATCAAGCAGCGAACTGTCCAATCTCATCGCTTCTCCAAGTTTATCCGATGCAAGCAACTGTCGCCCATACCATCTTGTTGTTAAGACAAACAAGAAGTATTTCTGGAACCATGTGAGTCTGTTCCCGACGCCGTTTACGCTTTCCGATATCCTTGATAATGACGGGGCAGAGAGGTTCGATGAGGTCGACGGGACTCAGACGGACCTTGTAAACTTTGAAAGATCGCTGATTATCGAGGCTAAAGGTATCAATAACATTTCTGTATTTTGCCTGTGTAAAATATATCGTGATATGAATTTAGTATGTATTCCATAATAGGATCATAAATTATAAGCATTAAATCATTAATCTTTTAACCATTTTCATCTAAATGTTAAAACATGACACATGCTCTTTCATCGATCTTTGTCAAATCCAAATTTAAGATCAAATTCATTTTCATCTGTAGCCTCGCTGCAAAAAAGGTTGATACCGTATTAATGTACGAAAATTAAATTGATACATTTTCTTTAATTCAGACTTCGAACTACCTGTAATAGCTACTACTGTAAGTGTTCAATAAGGCATTTGGCATTGACCAACATTGTGTATTTTATGATAGCTTAAACGGGGATATACTGCAAAATATATTCACATAATCATGTCAAAACAAGTTTCCTATACCCTATGCGCTTGAAGTGATACAAAGTTATTGAAACAATTATTAACATTCTCATTATGAATATGATCTTTAGGTAAAGTCGAGGCTTCGTTAGCAATGGAGATAGCTGGTTTTGAGTTAGACGCTAACCGACACATCGCAGTCTCTGTAGACTTTGGTCAGGTTGTTGAGAAATCACTCGACATACCTCAACTCGCCAACTCTGTCAAAGGAAGGTAAATATGAATAGTTGGTGGCTTTGCATTTCATACAAGCAGCTAAGATAGGTTCATAAGACGCTATTCCAAGTATCCTATGATAAAAAACATGAAATGTTCAAAGTGCAATATCAGATTAACAGTTGCTTTAATGAAACGGGTATTTTTTAAGCTGATTACATGGTACTACTACGATGTTATACCGTATAGCTCCAGATCGTCGGCTTCTCTCTCTCCATCTTTCCAATTCTGGATGCTGTCTATTCATTCTGGATCACGACTATCAATTACATGAAAATTGGCGTATCCATCATCCAATGTGGAGCCGGAGAAGAGTGTAAGCCCCCTTGAGCCCCTACCCCCGTAGGAGAAAAAAAATAAACACATTTTGAAGTGGTTTGTACAGCATTAGGCACTGCATCCGAAACCATTAAACCTCCCGCTTCCTTCTCCCCACTCTATCTCGCAAGGATTTTGACTCCCCCTCATTAATTCATTCTGGATACACCACTGATAAGGGTTATTTGAAAATGATGATTGTCATTACCTGTCAGTTTATGAGTTTATGAAAACCACCCATCGCAAAGGACCTTTTCAAATCAAAGATGAATAAGCCTCTTTATAAAATATCTCTCTCATTTTTCTCCTTTTTTTCTCTTTAAAAGGAAGATAAACCTGAAGAAGGATTTCATTAAAGAAGTCATGGCGAAGAAACGCAATACGCTTTGCCTGGTCGTGACGACACTAAGCACAGAGGCTGAGTCCAAAATCACGACTGAGCTTCAAACAAGTGGATCGGCCGACGGTAAATTCACTGCAGGAACAGCGAGATCGGTGAGCCAAACAAAACTCAGATCTCTAACCCTAACCCCACGTTCCAAAGATTGATAACGATACTTCTAAAATTGGTCTCAGTTTGAAATACGGGGCTTTAAAATCTTAAAAAAACTTATTTTTTAAATTTGTATATTGTTTTCTAATCGTGAATCATGGAACCTACATAAAACACCAATGCAAAGACTATCTAGTGTAGCTCAATTTAAATACCATATTTTTGGCCATCCCATATTCTTATTACATACAATACGGCATTGTAATATTTGTTTAGTTTGGGTAATAAAATCAGTGAGTTCTATTGACCATAAGAATATACAATGTACGAGACTATTATAGTAATAACGATGTTTGAGAAGGAAATATGTGTGGCAATTGTTATGAAAATTCAGCCAACAGTGATGACATATTTATTTGCCTATTGGACGCTTGACTTGAGATGCGAAGGTCGTGGATTTGAGCATGGACATATTATAGTAGGTCCATGGTTTGAGCCCAGGTACGGCACTTTCGTCATTGGGATGCACGAATGATGAACGATAACACGATTCCGCTTTGTGACCCTATTCTTTTCAGTGAGCTTGATAATATGTTGATTGTAACTGAGGGTTCTAGGACACCTACCCCTGGACACCTACCCCCTGGACATCCACCCCCAGTCAACTACCCCCTAGGACAACTACCCCCTAGGGCAACCACCCTCTAGGACGACTACCCCCAGGACGACTACCCCCCTGAAAAAGTATACCTCCCAGACAACTACCCCCTAGGACAACTACCCCATGGACAACTACCCCATGGACAACTACCCCCTGGAAAACTATCCCCTATGACAACTACCCCCGGACAACTACCACCCAGACAAATACCCCGGACAACCATCCACTTAAGGCCCAAGTGCTCTGTGACACATAAACCACTTTTTCTCAAAATGGCCAAAATTGAGTTACGTCTTTGTGTCACTGACCCCTCGATATATAATGGATTCGTAGTGGTGTTGTCTAATCATTTGACTTCGAATGCAAAGTAAGATCATGGGTTCGAGCCCCGGCATATAATAGTAAGCCATTTAATCTACATTGCTCCTGTCCACCGAGCTATTAATGGGTTACCCGATAGTCTGCGAACGTCAGAGTGATATAGGATTATCATGTAAGTGTGCCTTTCTTAAAAGGCGACTTCCTGAATGCTCACAATAGGAGTGGAGACTGTGCACTGTAAAGTACTGTACTGTATAACTGGTATATTTGGTATTGTTGTTATTATTATGATCATGATGATGATTATTCATTTCAGATTAACGTCGAGACCTCGCTGTCAGGTGACAGAAAGCGTACCCTAGAGATCCCGTCAAACACACCGCTAGCTTTCCGTATGCTGGAGATTCTGGTCCGCCCAGACCGGAGCATCCAGCTCATGCAACTCCCGAACAGTGAGGGCGGGTTCGAGATTATTAAAGATGACAAAGAACCCACACCAAGCCGTAAGTATTTATTTATTAAACAAGAGTGTTTTCGACGAGTGCCCAAAGTTGGTTTGATACATAATTACACTCTTGGCAATTTTGATACCCGGTACTGCTTTCAAATGGTTTTCTATTGATTCCATAGCTACTTTAAATATGTATGTCTTGTATGATACGTCTTTGCCGGAAATCACGATGGTAATTGAGAACTGCTTTCGGTCGAGACTCGAAAGGGTAATGACTGACAAGCACAAAAAAGTAAGATAACTGAAACACAAAACGAAAGTGAGAGAGAAAGAAAATAAAGCTTTGCATAAACAAGCTTTCAACAAAATATAAATGTATACGATATCTAGGGACTACTTTATTTCAAAAGAATCACTTGTATTGGCAAAAAACTTTGCCCCTTTGATTTGCATGATGTAAAACAAATGTTTTGCTAATTACAATTCTTGTTTTTTTGTTTCATCATAAAGGGGATTTAACACCCAGAAGTGGTCTACAGTTAAGTATAAATGGTAAGTATTAGGAAATGATTTTTTTCTCGGGGGGGGGGGGGGGGAGGATGAAGGAGATGGGTAGATGGAAACAAAGAGAATCAGAGAGGAACAGAGAGGGGGGGGGGTAAGAAGCATAGGCCATAAGCTCTCCCTGCTTTTTTTTACTTTACACGTTTGAGATCCACCGTGTTTAATGACAATTTTGTTTCTTGATATCCACTTGGCAGTGGAATAGGGGGGGGGGGGGGACCGGCTCCACCCTTTTGTAAATGCACCACTGACTAGCCTGTTTTAACTTTGGCTGTTGCTTCTTTTGTTGGATGATTATAATTCAAACTGTAAGAAATCTATATCATTAAAGATATTATTTTCAATTTTATTATTATCATTATTATTTTGTAATCATTTATTACTATATTACTATAATTAGTATTGTAAATATTATCCTTTTCAATATTATTATTATTATCATTAATATTATAGTTCATATTTCATTATTATTATTATCATCATTATTATCATTTTTATCATTATGTGAGACGATTTTTCTTTCTACATTTCCATTTCTTATCCAAACATGTAGGCCCGGTGCCGGACATGGAAGAGATTCGACAGCAGTTGAAGCCGATGTTGTTATTGCCTGAACAAGGTCTAAACGATGCACGGCGCTCCCTGAAAGAACTTCTCAGAACAGAAAACTCTATCCTGCTCAACAGCTTAAACATTATGGTCAGTTTCGATTTCATTTTTGAAGCTTTAATTGTGAGCATGATTTATATATTGTTGCCCATAAAGACGGAGTAAATTTCTTAACCTATTTTTAAGAAAAACTCTCTAGAAAATATGATTTATGAAGGGGCACGAACATGACGGGAGGGGGGTAGGGGCTGTCTTACTCGGTGGATGCAATGTAAATTAAAAACGCCATCGACTAGAGGGGGGGGGGGGAGATATTTTAGGAGAACTTTTATATACCCCCTTTTCGCCTCTTTCCTCCTCTTCCCTTTTCAGGGGAAGGGGTTGGGGGTTGGGGGGGGGGGGGGGTTCATGCCCTCCTATAGCTTCGTCACCGATAATAATCATGATGAATAATACTATAAACCATTCATTTCCTCACTATTCCTTTCAATATTACAATGTACGTGTAATGATAAAAAGGGGTTTGTACAGTGCACATTAGATCAGAGGACCATGCCCTGCTATTGGCGCTGTTGTTAATCTTTTGCACATGAGACCTCAATTAGATTGCGTTAGCCCTGGGCCCTAACCTGCGCTAATCAAACCTGTGAAGATAGTTAGCACTTACGCCAACTATTAAAAACGATATTTGCACTTTTCACTCTCTCTCTCTCTCTCTCTCTCTCTCTCTCTCTCACACACACACACATACACATGGCGCGTCGAAGGCTGCGCCAGTCGAATTGACGTAGTCCTCCGTCAGATGAATGTCGCCTCATATTCAATGAGGATTACGCTAAATAATGTACTCAACTTATAATCATGATTTTTAAGCCAATTGCATGAACTGGGTTTAGCGACTAAATAGTTAACGGGCTCGAGTTTATTTCGCTTTTTTACAAGCGTCAGTTAATCACAAAATTATTTACGTCTAGGGACAGACCTTTTAATGTCACAAATGGGAAGATGCTACTCAAGTTTAAACCGGGCTCTTTCAGAGTCAGTTTGTAGGGGAAGACATCGAGCTGAACATACTACTTGGTCAACTCATATCTCCCCATAAAACGCACTTTGCTTTTTATAGTTCCAGGTAGCTTTGAACTCTCTACTTGTTGGACACGGCGGCAAGCAGACGACACAGGAAATATTGCGGGAAAAACTCGGCTGCTCCGATCTGAATGATACCAAACCTCTCCTACAGGCGGCGGGCTTCTCTTTTGAGGTTTGTTGACATTGTATATACATGTAGCGTTATCTTTGAATGTCCTAGTACGGACACAGATAATTAACATAAGCATTGACGGAATTCCTATTCAGGAAAAAAGAGACAAATCAGTCATTTGAACAGTCAACGGAGGAGTGGGGTAGCAAAACTAAAAGTGAGTCTATACCCCCTCCCCCTCCAAAACAAGATTAAACAGAGAACAGAAGTGGGCAGAGGCTTCATATGCTAAGACAAAATGAAGAAGAAGAAGAAAGTTAAAATAATATAAAGAAAAGGAGAAGAAGAATAAGCAGGAGGGGGAGGAAGATGAGGAGGAGAAGAAGGAGAAGAGGATGAAGACGAAGACGACGTCGAAAGGAGAGGAAGACTGGAAACACAAGAAATTGGAGGGAGGGGGTTTGAGCGGAGTTATCGAATACTAGTAGCATTGTTCTCATACATCTAAAATGGTGAAATATTTCCTTATTTTATTAATATATGCCTTTTCTATGAAGCTTGTTACCATGGTAATCGGATTTTTAAAAATCTTCTTCTTATTTCAAATACAAAAAGGAGGACAGTGTAATGTTTCCGACAACAGATGAAAGTCGCATTCTTATCTGCACTTCAAATTTACTGGACCTGCTGGGTTGTAAGTGTTTTTTAAAATAATTTTATACCTATTAATCCTCCGGCAATATTTTCTAAATAACACAACAGGTACAAATTGATTACGAACAAACCAGGCAACCAGTGTTATCGAAAATGAGCATCTCACTTTCCTTTATCGATTTCTCCTTTCATGTAAATTCTTCTTCAAAGCAATATGATGATACGGTGCCACTTTAACAAAAATTGTAATTGTATTCTTCTCTCCCCTTTTATATTTTAGATTTATATTTTTGTCTTTTATTTTAAAACCGTTTTGATAGAAATGACTTCCCTAATCTCCAATGAACCATCTCATCTTCGTTGTAATTTGAAGATTTTCGAAAAGCTTTCATTATTAACTTTTATGATTAAGGCTCATGTGATGTCACACTTGGAATGCAATATTGAGGTCTGCTCCTAACTTGAGGTAGATGAACATCAGTGATCGCCCAATTTGAGGCGTGCTCAAAGAATAAACAAGTGACTAATAAAAATTTTCTAAGTAATTAATGTGTTAATTGATTACCAATTTTCAATACAAATGTTTGATATTTCTTGTACGGATGAAATAAGTTATAAGACATATTGCCCTGGACCAAATTTTGTAGCACAGTATCTCTGACAATGAGATGACACCTAGTCGCTCCAGTATGCCGTCATTATAATTTCATTTTAATGAAGGACCACTTTTTGGCCGAATTTAATTCTCTGATTGTTTGAATTCCAGCTTTGAACGAGGACCAAGGAAGAAAATTGTATGAGTGTACCGAGGAGGAGAAACGGTCAATAACCAAAGTGGTAAAGAAATTTTGAGAACAAGCTTTTGTCCAGTATAGATGCTAGACTCTATTTTATATCATTTAATCGATTCCCAAATTTTATTTTATTGTTCTTTGACAACAACTTGTCGGAAACCATGTTCTAGTTGCTAAAAATACCAACATGTATACTTTCAATAGGAATTTGTCTGTTGTCTTTACATAATGTCGTGTGTAATCCTTGCTTTTTGGCATTTCATTCCCCTTTTGTTCTTTTGAGTGAAATGTTGATATGAAAAGATATGGAAACAGATATTATGTTCGTTTTGTAATATTGGCCTCTCTTTAGACTGTTAAGACTCCCGATAACACTCAGCATTCCAGATCAGGGAAAGCCCTAATACTTCGTCTTGAATCTCATTCTCATTCAGGACCCCGTCTTATAAAAAGTTGCAATCGATCCGAATCAATCGCAAGTCTCCCAATCCACCGCTAGTTTACTGTCTTCTATCCCTTATGTATATAGTTGCGATTAAAGGTAAAGACCAGTTATGGTCATGCGATGGCATTGTGAAAGAAACGTTGTGGAATCGATCAGAAAAGGTTGATCATCTAGCATCTAGCATCTGCAAGGTTCTGGAATCATCAAAATGATAAGAAATTTGGCCCATTCTTCGTAAAGTTACAAGCACTATACACAGAAAGATGTATATGGGACTACCCTATATCTCTCACAGACCATGAGAGAAACAAATTTACCAAATATATGAATTAGTAGGCGGTTTCCCGGCAAATTTTTTATCATCATGTATTAGTCAAAACATATTCTTTCACATGATTGGTAATGAGAGCTTCCATTTCATTTTTTTAAATTGGGGCGTTTCCAATACTGGTCTTTACCTTTAATATATCAATCGCAAATAAGTTCCATTTAATCGCAACTGCTTATAAGACGGGTCCAAGATATATAGCGCTAAACCGTGATGGATTTTTAAACTTGTAAATCAATGGAAAATGCGCGAAACAACGATTATAAGCATAATATTTACTGAGCCCTGTTTTATAAGATGCAAAAAAAAAAAATCAAACACTATTAATCATTAAATCAATAGATTCATAATTACTGCGTCGAATCTGAACGAGGCTTTAAGCATATTAATACTGAACATTTCTTGTTTGTTGAATAACATCATGTACATTTGAAAAAAAATCATTTGTTACAATTTTGTATTCAGTTTGTTTAACTTTTATTTCATCAGATTGCACAAGCATTAGCTGCGGAACGGCTCCCCTTGGACCAGCCGTCTGTCAGCAATCTCTTCGCTGGTTCCAGGCGGGCAGAGTCGCTCGTGTTCAGCCTGGGATTCCAGCTAGAGAGAACCGATGGCAATTGGTATCTTTCCTATAGCACCAGCGAAATGGTCGAGGATGATCTGAGCCCAGCCGGATTGCTTGTCATCATGTGCGCCCTCTGGGATCAGAAGTGAAGATGGAGAAGGTGTCGTGGAGGTGTTGTGGAGGTGTCACGGAGGTGTCGCGGAGGTGTCGTGGAGGTGTCGTGGAGGTGTCGTAGAAGCGTCGTGGTATAGTGGTTCATTCACCTGACTCTCAATTCAAGTGTTGAGGGTTCGGATCCCAGCCCGGTACTAACCGCCCTTTGGCAATAAAGTAATCTGCCTTTGCAACTCTCCACCCAGGTATAAATGGGTACCTAGCAATTGATGGTGTAATACTAATGCCAGGGCCCTCAGGGAAGGACAGTAATGATGTCGATAGGGCTTCCATGGGTAAACGAAAAGCTCTAAACATGGGTATAAATCATCCTTATGTTGGGAGAGCAATGGGAAAACTATTGTCGTTACGTAGATAACAATCATGTTAGATTCAAATTTAGAGTAGTTTCTTTTATATCTTCAGACATTTCTACATTATAGTCCATGGCATCAATGCATTTCTGATGAGAATCATGTGTTTCATCAAACTGGTAAACACGAGTACAACATTAGAAATTTCAAAACACATGATACACAAGTTAATAGGTTTGTGTATCCATAAACAAAGGAAATTAAACCTTGATATTTAAACAAAACAGTACTTTAGATGATAATGTAAAGAAAGAAAAGATCTTCATTGATTATGTTGATATTTGTAACCAAGTACGGGACGAGGAGTAAATTGCAATTTAGTAAAAATGTCATCTTACCGAGCTCACCATATTTCATTACAATAGACCATAACCAAATTTAATGCACAAGTCTTTGTGAAGTGCCTCAATACAAATTATTTCATTCACCTTATAAGAATAATAGTAATTCAATGGTCAGAATGAAAAACTGCATAATCAAGTGTTGCTAGGTAGGTCAAGCCATAATGTTTGTCCAACCTGGCAACAACTAATGTGTGCAGTTTGGATTATGTCTATTGAAATACTATTATTCTTACCAGGTGAATGAAATAATTTGTATTGAGGCACTTCACAAAGACTTATGCATTAAATTTGGTTACATTAGGAAAATGGCCTATTGCATGTATCAATTAACATCTATTATAATCTGACTATACGAATGCTGCAAATTTTACAGTATTTAAGTTTGATTACAATCAGAAGTGTAATTAAGCATGCAAATATTGCAATGTTCAAGTTCATAATTTAATATGTGTAGGTAGGCATACAATAATTAATTATGCATCCAATAGTTATCATTGTTCAATATGCTTGCAAATATTATAATATTTTATTTTCGTCATCATTGTGTAGTTAATTATGCCAATGTAACATTATGTACAGTTGATACTTATAAACTGTTTTTTTCTTGAAGTCATGTCTTGAATGTTGAATAATTGCGATGCGAATTGAGGACGTGATTTGGGTAAATTTGGTAAAAGGGTTTTGGGTCAAAGAATCCATAAATTTATTCGTAAATTTTAGTTTTTTCCCAAATCCGTTCAAACATTTTGAAGTACATTAAAACACCTATGCATGCCTCATTTGCTTGTGTATACATTTATCGTTGTATAATGAGGCATGATTGTTCCGTTGAAGTTATGAGTGACTCAAAATGTTTTGAATTGAATAAATTAAGCATAAATTATAATGTTTAAACTGTACTGGTTTATTACCATCGAATACTTTAACATAAACACTTGTAATCATGATTTTTGTAACTCTTATCTTTTCACGTAATTTTTAACTTTTAGTTTTAGACATGTACATACCTTCAGCTTATTGAAACATTCTAGCATGATAATGTTATTTCTAGTTGTTAAGCTCTTTTACTTGTAAGTAAACACGTTTTACTTAAGCACTTTGTTGCACTTTTATATTTGTACAGTTTATTCTTTCTGCTTTGAATCTTTACAGGTTTTGTACACCCTTGGGTACTTTGCACAATCATAGCAGGTGCCTTCGAAACAACGTAATAATTGTACTAATTGGAATTATATGTAATGTCACCTTATATTTGTCTGAAGGAACACTGAGCACTTCGAATGTTAAAGGCACCGATTTTCTTTTTCGTATCTGATGGAGTGTGTATTGATTTGGCATGCAGTTGTTCTCAAATTGAATATTTTGTTGCATTGTGAAACATTCTGTATAACTGTGACGAATTCCTTGAAAATAAGTATTATGCACCTTGATATAAAAATACAAAGTAACAAAACGTAACAATTATTATTAGAGTTAATTCATAAAATCGTACAATTCGATCGATATTAATGGAATAAAGAACACAGGTGAAACTATAGCAATGGTTTTCTATTTATTATAATGTTGTTTGTATTGGCCTATTATTTATTTGGGATATATTTAGTGATGAAGAGGTGCGTTTTTAACTAATTCACATTTTAGACTTGCTCAGTTTAGAGTGATGTTGTTTTCCTTGATAAGATATCATCAAATTATTAAATCAATCATTCACTCAATGTGTTGTATTCATTTTTAGCAGATAAGCAATAAAGGACGCATTGAAGGTATAAGAATATAAAATATTGATGAAAAATGATATACAAATCTAAAAACTGTTGATTTTGTTTTGATACAAGGATCCTAATACATTGCAAATGCTTAAAAGGTCAAACTATGATAACAAACAAGCTATGGTAACAAAAAACAGCCTTGAGTGTTACTTAATGAAATGTACGAATATGATAATGTTTACGGGCAATACAGTCAGGTATTTAATCGCCCTTGAATTGATTTCTCGAAAATCCTTGCGATCGTATTATCTGACCTGTATGAATGTGGGAAGAAGTTCACCTGGGGGAAATAGCTCGTGTGTGATGGATTCCTTGTAGATAACATTGACAGCTCTGTTTATCCTGAAAGATAAATATTGATTGAGCTATGGTCATGCTATTGGAAATTGGAGAACTGGGATGGTTCATTATGACTAAGTTTCTTTTTTAAGGGCAATTCCTCTTCAACTGACATTTTTGGGGGGACATTTTCCCATACCAGCATAATAAATTAAAAAGCTCGTAAATAGTTTTTCACTTTCCCCGGAACGCGTATAGATTAGGAAACAAGGGCACGCAGCTCTATTCAGAGTAGTTATACGACTAAATGTTGTTAAATAAAATATGTTTACAAAAAAAAGTTTTGGAATTGACAATTGCAACGGAAAATGGTATAGATCTATTTAAAATGTTCATCAATTTCTTATAGGATTGATAATAAAATCTTCTGTAAACATTTCGCTATCTTCTGAAGAAACAAAGTGCACTATGGGCCAACTGTTTGCTTTGCACACCAGGTGGACCCTCTCTCACAAGTACAGGAGTTTTATCAAGTCTCGAACTCGGTCAGTGACCTCATTTTATAGCCATGTTCACACTGGCAATCAGTCGCTTTTAATTACAAGCTGGCGAAACCTAAAAGTTAAATCCGTTGACATGGCACATACTTTCGAGTGAGGACCCGCGCGGCTCGTAGTTAAGATCGTTAGTGGTTTTATAACTTTGCGTACACTTAAAGTTAAAAATCAAACCAAGAGCGAGTCCACACATTCCGTATAACTGCGAGATAACTTCGAAGTTTTGAACAACGGCCTAAACTTTAAGTTTACGGCCTGTCGTGTGAACTTAACTAATATTTAGCTTTTTTAATCCTTTGATTGGCAACGCTATTCCTCAAAACCAGAGTTTCGTTACCCGTAGACGTAACCATCAACAGTTATTCTCTTCATGTTGGTGTTTGAATAAGGACTATTAAGACGGATGCCAATATTTGCAACCATGGGCTCTCTGTATCCTGTATTCGCCAGTCTCCTGGTTTTTGCTAGTTTTGCTTGCCATGGCAGCCTTGTTGAAACAGAGGTAAAACAGCATTATTGAATTCTTTTCCACAATAGAAGAAAATTGCGTACTACTACCTAAAGCATGAACAAAATTACATACATTCGTTTAATAATAGCAATGTTTGATGACATTTTTTGAACTCATCATCATGATAATGCAATATCATGTGTTTATGTTAATAAATAAATGTCAGTGTCATCCAGTTATACTTGAATACGCTTTTATGTTATAATTCCGTAAACTTTCAAAAAATTCAAATTTTACTTTAAAAATTACGATAATAATGGGCATATAATGTTAACAACAACAACACCAGCATCATCGACAAAATGGCCAATATGACCCAGATGAATAAGATTTCACTTGTTTTTTCGCTAAATATCCATTCCAATATACAGTGTAAGACCGCTTTTTTCATTTCCCCCCGATTTGCTTACCTTATAAGGACGTAAGCATATCCGAAGCAGATCCTGTTGCCTTGCAAAAGAAATATGGTAAGTATATGTCATTCAAAAGCTTTATATCTTTAATGACTAATAAACTTTAAGCATTAACGTATATAATTTGTAACTCTTTTTTTCAAATACATTTTATTATTTTTTAAAGAAATAAACTAAATACTTATGACTTGCTATTAAATTATTTTTCACTGAAAATAATTATTCCTTGAATGGTGACCGATGGTAAAGCCCGTATGACATTTATCGAAAGTCTTGGAACCGCATAAAGACGTTATATCATAATGTGGCATGCGCTGTTTTTATTTTCAACAATACCTTACCCAAGTTGCTTACATTAGTTACAGCATAAGGGCCATGTTTCATGAAACTTGTTATCAATAACAAGTTGTAGCAATTGTTATAATCTACTCAAATCGTGGCATTTGGTTGGCTGATAGCAAATTTGTCATAAATATTTGTTATTGATAACAAGTTTGTATGAAACAGGGCCCTAGATCTACCGATTAATATAGTCGTCAGTGTCATGGCTTTTTTGGTGCTGTTTTTAGCTGTGGGATGCCCTCGGATCATCTCCCGCTCTGAATGGGGGGCTCGATCCCCAAAGTCTACCAGCAACCTGGTTACTCCTCTCCCATACGCTGTGGTCCACCATACTGACGGCAGCTCATGCTCTACCGAAGCCTCCTGCATGTCACAAGTTCGAGGAATCCAGGTACAGATAATAGGCATAAGCTTAAAAAGGGCAATCCAAACTGACCATTGCCTTCTTTGAAACAAAATTTATACCTTATGCCTTAAGTGAACAAGTCCAAAAATATACCCCCCTTCCACCTTTGAGGTGGTGAACTTTTTTACTTTTTTCTTTCTTTCTTTCTTAGTCAGATAAATTTGGAGTAAAAACATGAAAAGGCACCAGAAAAACCATGATAATGGAATATTACGCCCCTTCTTTTACGGTGAAGTACGCCTTCACCGAAAGATGGCGCAATTGAATATTCATTACAACAGCGATAGCGATGTCAGTAGTAAAAAAAAAATATGCCTTTGAAATCATTATTCTTTTCTCGATAGAACTATCACATGGATTCCAATGGCTGGGATGACATCGGTTACAATTTTCTCATCGGTGGTGATGGAAACGTTTATGAGGGACGCGGATGGAATTACAAAGGAGCTCATGCTTCGAGTTACAACTCATACTCCCTAGGTAAGCTAGTGATCGCATATTTACTATAACTGTATTAAATTCTGATCATTATTATTTGTAGAACAGGATTTAAGTCGACCAGAAAATCGACGTATCTTACTCTTTGCGCAACAGTTACCGGGTTGACAGTGCAATCGTAATACCATTTATCATGGATTGTGAAAAAGTACCCGGGATAACGATACAGCATTTTTCCATATCTTTCGGCGAACGCCTAAATGGGTAAAGGCTTTCTTGAATACACATAATTATGCTGAAACAATAGATGTATGTGCATAAAGTTAGTTGAGTGCTTAGTATAGCGAATGACGAAATATGTTATGGTTCCTGGGGTTAATGATGAAGTTAAAAATAATAATTGTGGATGGCTTTCTTTCGTAAGATACAAGGTTAAATCCCACTTGCTTGGAAAATATTCCACTCGTCGTGCAAACAGACAAGTACAGGACGAGGCACATACGACTTCTGAACAAAATATATGTCAAGTGCACATTAAGAGAGAGAGGGGGGGGGGGGGTAGAAGGAGGTATAGCAAAAGAGAGAAATTGGGATAAAATGATAAAAACGGAAGAGGAGATAGAAAGAAGTGAAAGACAGCGACAGGGTAGAGAGAGAGAGAGAGACAAAGACGAGGGGGGGGGGGGGGGATATGGCTAATATGAATAAATGTTATAGTCACTGATTATATCGTTTCCTTCTATTACAACTAGGTATCTCCATGATCGGTAGATTTACTTCCTTAACCCCGGGACAAGAGATGCTAGATGTGCTTGATGAACTCCTCGACTGTGCTTTGAGCAGGTGATTATCTTTTGCAAAAGATATTTTCTTCATTCCGTTGCGGGGAGGGGGGGGGGGGGGGGGGGAATGCTGCTTTTTCTGGTGGCATATTTTGTTGTTGTTGTTGGGGGGGGGGGCCTTGTAGAGCTTGGAGTTCTCGCATTCATTTTGTACATGCGCCTTGCAAAAGTTTTTTTTCGGGGGGGGGGGGGCCCGGGGGGGGGGGGCGTTTGAGCCCCCAAACCCTTCCCTGTACCTTCACTGACCTTGGTACGTACACTCAACATAACAAATCTCTAGCATCTCATGCCAAGATGAAATTTATAAAAAAATATCATACTTTTAACTTTCCATGTGCAGCATTTGCCAATTCGCGCGTTCCTCGGTTTGTCACGAGTGCCGATCGACCGTAACAATTGGCACAAGCCCAGTGTATTGCAAAATCTTAAGAAGACCTAAAACAACTACTTTTACACCAGGGTCCCGTCTTATAAAGAGTTGATATTATTTGCAACTAATTTGCGATTGATATCAATCGCAACTATTGACATAAGAGATATGAGACTGCAAACTCTTGAAAAGACGGGGACCAAGGGCTCCGTCGAATGCGCTTCATCCGAATCGATCGTTAGTCCTCCAATAAATAACAAATTTAAAATGTCCTTAAGTTCAAATCAAGTTCCGACCGGTTCGAATCTACAAGTCATATGACCGGGCCCTAATATATGTTTAATCACTGTCTAAGAAATTAAAAAAATAGCGTCACTATTTCATCATGTTTGGCTCATGGATAGTTATGCAAAGTCTGAATAATTCGTTTTTATCCCGTTTCTTATGTTTTAGTTTTAGTTATTAGTTCAATTTAGAAATGTTTGTGTGACATCATTCAGCAAAAATATTTATAAAAAATAGCACCCGTCCTAGAATTGAAAATAACACGTTAAAATAAAGATTGTACGATATATTATTATTGGCGAGGACTGCTTTGCGGCCAATTACTAACATATTAAAGCCATATTCAAAGCATTAACCTGCGACTACTACCATTTCTATTTTAGGGATACCATAATACCGGGTTATAGTCTATTTGGACATCGTCAGGCGACATCAACCACGTGTCCAGGCGACGCTCTCTACACCAAACTGCAACAACATAAGCACTACGTAAGTAAAAATAACCATGTTTATCGAGTTCCTCGTGTGACATGTACATATTACACACCAGAATTTCTTCTTTTTAATATCTATTTTTTCTCAGTACAGTGTACATGTAAAAATCCACCCTTGGAGAATCATAAAAGGGTAGGGTGGATCCACTCTCAAAAAAGTAAAGTCCATCGCACAGTAAACGCCCTCGGACCTGACTATATATATAAATTTCGTCTTTGGCACAAATTATAATTATATTTTTAATATACAATTATTTCGTTCGATAGAGGAACGCATGACAGAAATTAGATGTAAAATATGAAACCATCAGGCGAATGAATCTTATCACTTTTATTAATTTTTCGGTATCATTGGTACGAATTCTTAATCATATTGAATGGTTTTGTACGCAGGGGCTAAACTTGAGATAACTACTGCATGATTGATCAAATGATTCTTCGTGTTGTTGCTTAGAATTCAAAGTATGCATTTTATAGAATTTATCATCGATATCATGTCAAGGCAGACAAAACTATGCAAGTGTATGACAATTGATAAATATACATGTTTTATAGTTGACACGATTGCAAATAATTTCAAAAACATTCAACCTTGGTACAGGTTTGATAGCAATGTCAATCACCCTTCGAAATGTTGGAACATATCACTCTCACTAACCCAATACATAAAATCCTAACATAATTTAACCAGTTACAGTAAACTCTGATATTGAAACCGCCCTTGTGTTTTATTTCTCGAAAGTCTTTGCGATCGGGCTGTCGAGGAAAACTCCTTAACTTTCCATTTTTCGTCACTAACAGGTGTACATCAGTGGCTCAGTGGGTAACCCCCTGGACGGGGAGCAATGCTCCCTCTAGGATGGTCTACTACCACGGACTAAGGTCCAGGATAAAGACAGTGGTGTGAACGGACCGTGAAAACGTTCCAACAATTTAAATCCTAACATGCTTTAATTTAAACGTAGAATTCTGAAATATAAAGTAATATTGATATCAGTTAAGCCAATATCACGCCTAAGTAAGGATTACAGCTGCATATGGCAGTTTATATCATTTCACTATTAATAGTCTCTTGCCTGAAAAAAACCTGATAGAATGTAATAATTATTCTAAAACCAAAGTTGGATGTGATTACCTACATCATGTTAGTTTGCATGTCTTCTGTACTAATTGTTTCTAAACTATAAGGTTATGGTTAACATATGACATCGTATAATAAATGATATCTATTTTGTCAGTTTGATTAATATCACTATTACAGAACAAAGCCCTTCCCTTCACTTTCCCAATGTAATCATATACAGTAAATATATGACTGAAATGTATCAATCTTATAAATAAAAACACACGAGGAAAATAAAACTCAATCTTAGCGTCATTATTCTTCTGTTCGCGAGATGTGAACGGTCCTGGCGTAGCTGGGCTTCACATTATTTGTTGGAATATCGTACAAAACCTGAGTGCAAGATAAGAATGAAGCATTCATTAGAATAGAGGGAGGGGGGGGGGGGGCAATGAATGCCTTCATAAGCATATCAAGTAATAACAGAATTGAAGATAGATACACATTTCTTTTCCTTCATTTAAGTAGCAGAAGACAAAGTGGAAAGAAGAAAGATAAAAAAGGTGATTTAAAATGTTTTACAGTGGAAAAACAAATTAGACAATTAAAATAAACCACTAAGAGCCATGAATACCGGTGTGTTGGCTTAGTCAGGAGAGCGTCCGCCTCACAACCGGGAGGTCGTGGGTTCGAACACCCCGGCCGCGTCATACCAAAAGACGTTAAAAGGCGGGAGTTGCTGCTACCTTGTTTGGCGTTCAACAATAAATGGATTATAGAGCAACGTCGATCTGGCGCTACTCAGTGGCTGCCGGGCTCACGATCAATTGGGCAAAAAGAATTTCCATTTTCGGTTTAACTTAATAAAATTTGGAGTGGACTTTAAAAAGATTATTATTATTATTATTATTATTGACCCTTTCAAACTATACGGATTCTCAAAATTCATTCCTGAAAAATTGAAGAACAATAATGTCTTCATTCACTTGCAATGTCCATATTTTAAATGATCGAAATTGCCCTGGAATCTGAAAACATGAAACCTCCTTCCGTGGTAATAGTAGAACCCGGGGAAGTTGAGGAGACTCAAAGCGTGGAATCATCGTCTGTCCAATACAACAACCCGGCATGATAGCCCAAACATTTGACTGTCACGGTATCCCGCAGGTAATACAGGACGTTTGTTTGTACCGTCTAGATCCATGTAGATGATATTTTGGACGTTAGTATCAACAATGAAGATTTTCCCGGCTGGAGAAATAAGAAGAAAAGAGAAAAATATGTTTCAAAGATCTTATATTGATAATGATGATAATTTGTATTACCGTTATAATCATTATTATAATTATTATTATTACTTTCCTTAATATTATTACTACCATTATTATTATTATCATTTCTATTATAAATTTTTTTCTTTCTGCTATCATTACTATTGTCATTATTATCATTATTGGTATTTTGGTCATTATATATAAATATTAGTATCATTAATATCAATATTATCATCATTATTATTATCAATATTATCATCATCATCATCAACTTCAGGTGGCGCTGTAAAGGCGCTGCTGTGGCCTTCACGAGAGCACGCCATGCAACTCTTTCACCTGCCAGTTGTGTTGCACCTTTCATTCCTTGTCCAGACACTTTCTTGATATCATCAGGTTTTTTTTTTACGCGAAATGTTAATTATCCACTATTCATGTTTGTTAAACTTATCAAGGTTTAACTCACTTCAAAAAAATAAATTGTTTCCTTTTATTCAGATAAGGGATGCCCATTGACAAAAACGCCTGGAAAAGAAATGTACTTTATATTCTACTTTCCTTCCCTAACTACATAGTTACAATTGAAAAGAGAGTGATATAGAAAGGGGTAGTATGACATGGAGATAGGTAAGTCCATAAACAGTTTTTTATGTTTGAAAGTTCATTTAAAGGTAATACAAAGTTTTGGGAAATTTTGAAAATTTAGCCCCTAAAACACTCCTAAACACTCCTACTTTTGAGAAAAATTGAATACAAAAATTTACCGGTGCTCCCGGTAAATTTTTATGAATTTCAAATGGCGCCTACGGCTGTTCAATGGTAGCTACGACCATGAAAATTTCACAATATGTAGTTGTGATATATAATTTTCAAATGGGAATACCTAATCGGTCAATTTTAGTCAATAAACATTGTTTTATAGCTTAATTAATATCTTGACCTTGAGAGGGAGCTATACAGCATAAAGAGTTTATTATTTACGATTCATATGGAAACGTTGTATCATCCGCTCAATCTGACTTGCGTGCATAGAACAAATAAGCATTTTTCCATGAAAAAGTGAAGTTTTCTAAAATGTGCGTTTCTTTCCAGCATTGGGGCGCCCGGAAGTCACTCGGTTAACATTTCATAAAGTATAATATAAAAAAGACCATATGCAAATTTTCTGTACTTTTGTCGGAAAAAATACATTTATCCAGCACAATGTCGTCTCTTTTTGCGTTGGAGAAGAGCAATTAGCGAGTTTCAATCACACTCTGGCAGATCTCGCAAGCTCTCACTCGTTTCACTGTTGTCAAGAGACTTTGGGGCAAGCGGTTAATGAAAATACTAATCGTTAGCTTTCTTCTGGTATCAAACTTATTTTGATTGATTGTATAATTTTGTCGGAATAAAGGAAACAAAAATGCTCGACCAACAACTCATCAGCGTCTGAATTGACCTTTTGACCTTGAATTCCCTGATGCAAGCGCACTAATGACGTGATCTTTGCTAAATCGGTGTCTTTTATCCTAAAATGCGACACTTTCACAATGTTTATACATCTTTTTTTAATTATTAGTAAGATATAACATATTTTTTCTGATATGACTGAAGTTTTGGGTTTCATTTAATGAGCAATTTTAAAATAAGAGCCATTTTATTGTTTTAATTTACTGGATCGTACCATTAAAGTTGCAGGGTAGAAAGATGCATTTTCCAACCGCGCCAAATTTAATTTACGTTGCGACATTATGTTAAATGGGTTCGTGTTGTTAAGAATCCACTGCTTTCTGCTCCAACAAACGTCCACATGCGGAGTCGTTTATCAACTAAATTATTCAAATCTATGGATGCTTCCTAGCTTCCCAGGTGTTTGTGTTGCTGTTGAAGCATTTCATTCACTTGCTATCATTCTTTGTACTCCAATTGCCAGAACGCAAATTTCATTTTTGTTTTATAGTTTCGTCGGAGTCGTTAATCATATATATGTATTCAAATTTATGAATGCTTCCTCCCCAGGTGTTTGTGGTGTTTATGCATTTCATTCACCTTTTATTATTCTTTGTACTCCAATTGTTAGAATACAAAATGCATTTTAGTTATATAGTTTCATGCAATAAGTAAGTCAATAAAAGAGTATGTTCTGCACAATAAAAACAATGTGTGTCCCTATTGTACAATGTAATGTGTCCCCTCATTTTGTAAAAGTTAATTTACCCATTCACATAATGCAACTACCTGCCCGATGAAGCCATTGGCCTGTGACCCCTGAGCACTCAACACCGTGTGGGAGTCAGTTCGTGCTCATATTCTTTTATGAGACAAATACAAGCAAACGTTTCCATATGCATAACTTAAGACTCGATTTCAACTGCAACAACGATCACTGAATATTGTAGGATCGCATAGGCTTCCAATAAGTTCATTTGAACCAAATTCATGACCCCATACCAAAACTTTGTAATACCTTCAAAGGTAATGCAAAGTTTTGGGAAATTTTGAAAATTGGATGGCAAATAATTCCTTAAAATGTTGATATATTTGAAGGCCCCTGCGGATGTATTATAAGCCCTAGAAAAATTAGTCCCTAAAACATTTCTGCTCTCGAGAAATTGTATAAATTAAAATATACTGGTGCTCCCGGTAAATTTCAAATATTTCAAATAGCGCCTAAAAGTAGGTATAGCACACCAAAAATAAGTACAACAAACACATGTTATTTGATGATTGCAATTGATCAAGCTTTATGAAAGCTTCAAAAAACAAAAAACAAAATGGAAGTCGGTCAATGCGTTGTGATTTTATACCATTTTTTTGAAATCACAAAATTACCGAATAACCTGCCAGAAATGGTCAAATTGGCAAAAATGGCAAAATTCGACAAAGTTGACAACTTAATTCATCACTTTCTTGGACACAAATAATAAATTAAATTATCAGACACTAAAATATCATCTTTGTGGTAAAAAATACAAAAAAGAAAATTCATATATCTATTACCGTTTTGGAAACAGAAGCCAAAAAAATAAGTCACTTTTGCCATTTTTGCGAATCTGCAGATATGAAAAGTCCGCCTAATTAATATGTGCATATGTAATCAAATAAAAACCGAACATGATACATCAGTGAAACCTATCATCAGACACGTATGGAAATACATTTATTTGAAATTTAAAAAGAAATCATGAATATTAATCAAACATACAATGTAGGTCATTTCAGCTAATTATATATTCGCGCACTCATTATGCAAATTAAGAAAGTCACACTGTTCATTTTTTTGGCATTTTTTAAATCATTTATTCATAGATCATATTTACACCAAATATTAACCTTAAATTCCAAATATTTTTGCAATGCCAATAAAATATGGCGATGGAAATGACTTGGACCACCGTTACAGCTATTTCCTCATGTGTTTCACAAAAACCGATCATAAAATAAGAATTTGCAGACTTTCAGCTACAATCACAATATATTTTTCTTTTTAAAAGATGTCAGATTTGAGGATTTATGATACTTTTCCGAGAAACCATTCAACAGGCCATAATATTCCACAGGGACTGAATTTCAGAGTAAAAACAACTTTGCTGACATCAGTACAGTTGTGGCTACCTTGAGTGTAAATAACAAATTAATTCAATGAGTGAACACATCAGGATGTTGCATTTTTGTCGGGAGGTTTTATACATTGAGGTGCATTTTCACCACGCAGAATAACAACAGTGCAAGTCAATGGGCGATCAGCGGGCCAT